TTTCTCTTAATATTATCCCTCCCCAATTCCACTAGCCCCTGCTATCCTTCCCCTAGCCCCCTACCCCTTGACAAGCCCCAATGTGTGTTGTTCCCCTCCCTGTATCCATGTGTTCTTATTGTTAAACTCCCACTTACGCATGAGAACATGCAGTGTTTAGTTTTCTGTTCTTGTGTTAGTTTGCTGAGAATGATAGTTTCCAGCTTCATCCACGTCCCTGCGGAGGACATGAACTCATCCTTATTTTAATGGATGCATAGTGTTCCATGGTGTATATGTGCCACATTTTCTTTATGCAGTCCATCGTTAATGGGGTTCCAATAATTTTAGGATTTTTAAGAATCATCTATAGGCTTTGATATTTCCCAGAATATAATATAGCAGATAAAATCTTCTATAGATTTTTATTAGATAGAGCTTTTTCCTCCTATCTAACTCTATCTGCTACCCAACTACCCAAAGACTTTCACGTGAATAGTGTTCAATAACACGCTATAAGAGTTAAAAATATTATTGATAGAGCGGCATGACCAGGCTAACATCTTTTGAAATATAGGCTACCACCATATCACCGGTGATGCAGAGAATATATTGAAATTGTGAGAAACCACCACTACCACAAATACAGCAGAGTCGACAACATTCTTTCAAATGCTGCTTAGAAGTATAGAATGACACTTTGGAATGGCAGAGAAGTTGTTACCTAATTCTCATGTCTAATTCTGGATGTACTAAGTACAGACAGATACTTTGTATGTTGACATTCATTCAGTGATTAATATTTATTTTGTAGACAAGGTTATATCTTAGACTTGTTTACAATGCATGTGTATCAATGTTAATTTCTGAAACATTGTCTACTGCTTGGAAATACAGTAGGGTTCACAATAACTTTACATTTATCTATGTGTAGAAACATGGTTGTTTAATGTGGTTTTTGCTGGGCAGAAAGTTATAGCTCTCCTAGATACATGTTTTATTTCATATACTGCCTTAAAGTTTTGTCCTATTATGGAAGGCAGAAAGAGTTCCAATAGAGCTGGACAAATAATGAGAAAACACTCCTTTCTACTTCACACACACACACACACACACACACACACACACACACACACACACTCTAGCATTTCAATCTGTGAGAAGAATTATTAGAAAAGAGCAACTTGTTTTTGATTCAGTTCCTACTGTTGCTTGCCTTGTAATTAAATTAGAATCAGTGAAATATCATATAAAATATTTTTTATTCTCATGGATAGATTCCCAGATTATTGTATTTTTATTCATTTATTAATTATGTCATAAAATAAGCATCTACTGACTATGGCAAAATACCCATGTTAAAATTCTTCATTTGTATATTCATGAGGTATGAACAGGATATTTCTTACTTATCATGATCTGAGTGGTGGTACCTGATCCAAGTGAGATATTGACAACTAAATAATTTCTAAGATTTTCTGAAATCCAAAATACACTCTAACTTTAGGGTTTAGAATCACAGATGAATAATTCTTTCATGTGGCTTTCTCTGTCAATAATGACTTTTTATTGAGCCAATGGCAAACTTCATGCTTTTTGTCTTATATGAAACAGATCTAACCTCTGGTGACAAGCGTCAGTGTTGACCTTGGTCTCACAGTAAAGATAAAAATAACATATGGATTATATATTTCAAAGGATAATATAAATGATGCTACATCTCCAATCTAACCTTTAAATCTGTTCCTGTTTTGCAAAATCAGGTGTAGTTTGTATCTTCTTTCAAATTATTTTTTTTAAGCTATCATGTACCATATGTTATTGTTCCTTAAAAATATTTTAGAGAACTCCATCTGGGATATTATATCATGAGTTTTTAGTTTATAAACTTATTTGTTTTTTGACAGTGTCTCATTCTGTCACCCAGGCTGGAGTGCATTGGCATGATTATGGCTCACTGAAGTTTCGAACTCCTGGGCTCACGTGATCCTCCTGTCTCAGCCTTCCGAGTACCAGGGAACACAGGTGCATCTCAACATGCCCAGCTAATTTTTTATTTTGTATTTTATTGTAGAAACAGGATCTTGCTATGTTCCCCAGGCTGGTCTTGAACTCCTGGCCTTAAACGATTCTCCCACCTTGAACTCCTAAAGTGCTGGGATTACAGTCATGAGCCACTGTGCCCAACTTATACATATTTTTAGTTAGAAAAAAATTAAAAATTTACTTTATGCCTCAGATTATAAATGTAAAAAAGTATCTGGTATCTCCGAGTTGCTTATTAAGGATTATATTTTTAATACAAAATAATATAAAATTAAGAATATTTAGTACTCAATCATTTTTAAAAAGGAATGTCTTAAATGATTCATATAAAGTCAATTGATAAACATATTACAGTTGTAGAGCATTTGATAGGTTTAATAAAAGTACATTTTATGAGTTAAATTCAAAAACCTCCTGAGTTTTATGTGATTCAAACTATGCTATGTTTTCTCTAACATACCTCATTAGTTACATTTCAATCAAGCTTGGTGTAAAAAAATGAGAACAATAAGCATGATTATAAGTAGGAAGAGTTTGTTAAATGTGCTTTAATGAGGTTCTATTGTGAGATGTGTCTTGTGTACAAGCAGAAATCAAGATGAGCATACTGAACAAGAAAGGATAAACAAAACCCATGGCTAGTGAGTAGATATAAGCTTTAAATTGTTTGGTCTAGGAAGACATGTAAAATACAATTTGGTACATACAGAAAATGTAATTAAATGATAATTGCACTCAAGCACAATGAGTGTGGGATAAACAGCTTGTGAATCAATAAACCATGAGGCAGCAGGCTGAGGTAGTTATTGATTTATGATTCATTTAGCTGCAAGTTTACTCCATTTCTAATTTAATTGGAACTACTGTATCATGCTTCATTGTGAGAGCGGGGTAGAATGATTGTATCATTTTATATAAGAAAAAGATTGTCTGAATTAATATGAACTTTAGGTTTTATGTGAATATAGTCCTCTAAGGTTTTTCTATATATTTACCAAACTTACAGATTGGTATATATAATTACAACAAAAAAATTTTGTTAATATATTAAAGGAAACTTTAGGACAACGTACACTTCTGATGAATAAAAATTTTGTTGTTTCATTAACTTAAGACATAAATATTATCTTGTAATGCTCATCTTATGAACTTTAAATAAAAAGCGTTCTTTCTTTCTTTATTTTTTGAGACTGGGTTTTGCTCTTGTTGCCAGGCTGGAGTGCAGTGGCACAATCTCAGCTCACTGCAACCTCCACCTCCTGGGTTCAAGCGATTCTCCTGCCTCAGCCTTCTGAGTAGCTGAGATTACAGGCACCCACTACCATGCCTCAGCCTCACAACGTAATGGGATTACAGGTGTGAGCCACTATGTCTGGCCTCTTCATTTTTATCTAGAGAAATTGTACATTTTAAATAAACAAGACATTCTTATTGTTGTCACTGCTTGTCTTCATTAACTTTTACATAGACTCTATTTTATATTTATGTTACTAACTTTAAGCACCTTCACAGACAGATCTTAAGTATTCATTCCCCTTTCACTGATTTCAGGTGATCCAAAATCCAAAACCTTAGCTGCCCTCCCTAGCAACATAAACAAGCAGCAGTGTTAACACCTGAGGGAACTTTGGAAGTATGTGTCTCTGAGGCTGTAGAGAGTATGAAAAAAGTATGACCACTAAATACTCACGACTTGTCACATTTTTCATTAAATAAATACAACTATTATTTTATTGCATCAGAGAAAGCTGTCAGTTTACAGTGGATTATACTGAGAAAATGAGAAATTTGCTGAGGAGGTCAAGAACTATACGATTTATGTGGAACTTGCACCAGTTAAATATTTCTCAAACTGAGAGAACAATAAGGCCCAAAGGGTACCTACAAAGATAATTTTTACAGGTTAATTATCTGCCTTTTCACTCAGATTGTAACTTCTACCTTTCAACCTGTTATCACTTTTTTTTTTTTGAGGGTCCTCCTGTCTGCTGTCTGTTCTTTTTGCTTGTGTGTGCGTGTGTGTGTGTGTGTGTGTGTGTGTGTGTGTGTGTGTGTAAGAAAGAAAGAATGAAAGAAAAGAAAAGAGTGAAATAAAGAAAGAGAGAGAGAAAGAGGGAGAGAAAGAGGAAGAGAGAACGGGAGTCTTGCTCTGTTGCCCAGGCTGGAGTGCAGTGATGTAATCATAGCTCAGTGCTGCCTCCAACTCCTCAGCTCAAGCCACCCTTCCACCTCAGGCTACCCTACCAAGTATCTGAGACTACAGGCATGCACCTCTGTGCCAGGCTAATTTAAAATAAAAATTTCATTTTCTTCTTTTTTTCTTTTGAAAACTGTTTTCTAAAATGACTATCTTGTTTTGTATTTCCACCAGAAACATATGAATTTTGCTCCAGCTGTCCCACATATTCACCAGCATGTTGTATTATCAGTGGTTTTATTTTAGCAATTCTAAAAGGTGTATAGTAGTGTCTTAATTTAATTTTATGTTGCACTTCCCTAATGAGCTATGATGCTGAGTATCTTTTCTTTTTTTGTGATTATTTTAGTTTAATATAAATTAAATTAAACATTTAATTTCTCAGTTGCACTAATCATGTTTCAGAGACTCAAAGGCCACATGTAGTTAGTGGCTATCTTATTGGACGGCACAGATTATCAAACATTTCCTTTATTGCTGAAACTTCTGCTAGACAATAGGATGCCTTAGCTAAAGTCATGAGTTCTTTCACCTCAGAATTCATGGCTAATCTTCAGTAGGAATAGAGGAATTTTATAAGGCTATAACATTTAGTCCGAAAGCATTCAAAGTCCAATTTTCTCATTCCATGTTACAGCTAAAATTTCTCTAGTTTTGATTTAACAATTACCTGACCATATTTGCTATCTCCCCAACTAAGCTGGAAGCCTTTTAAGAATGGGGCCACTTTCTATCCAATTTGCCAGTCTGTGTCTCTTGATTGGGGCATCTTGTCCATTTACATCCAGGGTCAATATTGATATGTGTGAATTTGTTACTGCCACTTAAAGCTAGTTGGCTGTTTTGCCCATTAGTTGATGCAGATTCCTCATTATGCTGATGCTCTTTATCTTTTGTCATGCTTCTAGACTGGTTGGCACTGGTTGCTCCCCTCCATGTGTAGTGCTTCCCTCAGGAGCTCTTGTATAGCATGCCTTGTGGTGATGAAATCTCTGAGTACTTGCTTGTTCACAAAGGATTTTATTTTTCCTTCACTTATGAAGCTTAGTTTAGCTGGATATAAAATTCTGGGTTGAAAGTTCTTTTCTTTAAGGAGGTTAATTTTATTTTTCACTTCCCTAATGAGCTACGATGCTGAGTATCTTTTGTGTGTGTGATTATTTTAATTTAATATAAATTAAATTAAACATTTAATTTCTCAGTTGCACCTCTTATACTGTGAATAAAATATTGCTATTGAAAAAAGTGATGATCAAGGTCCAAAAGAAAGTGTGTGTCATTTATTCTACTCACATCAGGAGAAATGATCTCTACCCTTGTACCTGTCGATTCATGAATTTATTCATTCAGTGGCTTTGTATCAGTATAGGAATATTTTAAACTCTTCTCTCGACATATTTAAAACCTGGGCTTAAATCCTTTTCTTGCACAGGCTGCCCTAATTTATTTGTCATCAGGCTTAACCTCACTGATAATTCAAATACACCTTTATTAGTTTGGATGACCCCCACAAATATGATACACTTCCATTGAAAATGTGTTCCAGCCCAGTTTAGTGGCTTTCACCTGTAATCTCAGCTACTAACAAGGCTGATATGGGAGGATTGATTGAGACCAGGTGTTTGAGACCACCCTGGGCAACATAGGAAGACTCTGTCTCTAAAAAGAATAATTAAAAAAACAAAAATAAATTATGTTCTATATTGAATACAGGTCCCAGTTTAAACACTTAGCAACATATCTCTATACAGTGTCTTTCTTGTCATTTTCTATAACATTTCTTACTATCTTGCCAAACTAGGAGCACAAAGCTATTTGTATTTAATGCTGTGGAGTCCTCAGCAGAAATAACATTCATCTCCCTCCCTTTGGGAAGATTTTCCACCAAGGGAATACTTTTTGGTTTCAATCAATAGAGTTTACTATCTAGTGATTTCTCAGAGGTGAAAAGTGGACCCATAGGAGTAGAAGACCTTGTTTCAATGCTTTGCTTTATTATATACAGTTACCTGTATAAGACTTAAAATATCAGTTTTTGTTGTTTGGTGTTTTCAAGATTCGTTTTTGAGCCTTAAGCATGGGTTTACACAACATATAACCAAATGCATTGTATTTTGGCAGGAAATAAACAGTTGATTTATGAGCATATGTGGCATAGAGTTTTATGAACAAATTAGTTTCTCACAATAAAATGTTACTTGAAAAATGTTTTGCGTATATAACCAAAGTGGCAAGTAGAGTCAGCCTATCCCTGATATGAATGTTTGGCTAAAATGTAAAATCAATGTCTTGCATCAAGCTATGATGTGTTGAAAGAATTCCTGAGTGTCTTACACTTGCATGTTGATCCCTGACTCTGAGCCTGTTCCTTCTGAGCTGGTTCTTCTCATGAACCCTCTCCTCTCCCAAACACTCTGTCCCTCTTCTTCTCTGCACATGTTTCAATATAAACTTAAGCTTTTTCTTTGCCTCTTTATCTTGAAACAAGTGTGTACACACACACATACATAACCATTATTTGTGAAAAATTTATTAATGGATTAGATTTTTAAAAGATTGTTTATACCATGGTAGATCAAGTAACATAAATAGGAATGTGAAATATCTGCTTCTAAAACAACACAAAATAATAAGCAATATTATTATTGCTTTCAATAAGCTAGCTTTCATTTGCCTTCTTGAGGATTTCAATACTTTTCCTCCTTCATCTTCTGTGCTAAAGAGAAATAAAGCAAATAACCAATAGGAAGGTCAACTCAGTTTCGTTATTCAGGGTAATTCGTGTATGTTTAAGTATAATTACACAGTTCACATTTGTGAGGCTATATAGGTAAAGGAAATCTATAGGGCATATGAATCTTGAATTCTGTTGGATATTGACAAAGTTCTCAGTAGAGCTGGCATGACAGGCTGCATTTCCAACAGGGTAAGTGCTGCTGCATCTTTGTCTCCCAATACTAATCTCATCTAAAATGCTTACCTATGTAAGAGATGTTGAATGATATTTTACCATGACATTGCCTATAAGGTAGAGAGTTTAGTATGTTTCCTGGTCATTCTTTTTTTCTGTTCCATAAATTTCCACTTTGCATCATTTGTAAATGTCATATTAAGTTAGCTTTGTTATTGGCTATGTAAATTTCAAAATTCAAAGAAAATAGGCTATGTTAATATTGGCAATATATTCTCATGGTGGAGGAGCTTACTTAAAGGATTCCTCAGCAATTTTTGGAAGAAACTCACAGACTTCTCCCAGAATATCAGATTAGTTATTTAATAATATATCTTTTTAAAATTGATTAGATACTTATAATTTTTTGTAGATTTTCATCTCACTTATGAATAAAGCTGAACTTGAAGAAATGGGTATATATTACAAAATGTACTCCCTGATAGCAACCCCAATAATATCCTCAGAACACTGAAAGTTCATTTCATTTTACATTAAGTACGCTTATGGGAGGAACTAGGCCTAGATGAAAAATGAAAAATTATATCCTGATATGGGTTACTTCTGCAGCTTTCCATAGATATCCTTGAGAATGTAGAATTGAACTCTGTCAAATTGATGCTGACCCATCCTATCCCCAACCCTGATTCCAAACATAATTAGTTGCTTGGTTTATGTACTTTGTAATCCATGATGAAAAGTAGATTTTTAAGGTATGGGGATTGTCTCTATATGCCATATCAGCGTAAAAGGTAAAACACTAAGTTCTAGAAGAAGGAGAAGCTTTGAAGAGTGTTCTACCTAGCCTGGTTTATCACTGTGAGAAACGAGAGTTTATATAAAGGGTATGAATGCTAGAAATTGGCGAGGGAAAGAAGAGTCCCAGTGTGGGAGACAGTCAAGCACTTGCTTAGGAGATTGAAGCCTGAAGGCCACCTCTTACCTCCTTAGGCTTCTGTAAAGAAGGGAGCTACTTCAGTTAGAAACTTCATCTTGCTTTATAGTACAATTGGAGTCCAGGATCAATTCATTATATCCCTCTTCCTCAAAGGCAAATGCCTTCCTCCTGCTTCTGAGTTTTTCCTTCTGGTGGTATGATATGAGGAATGATACTTCAAGAGGAGATTTTTATGCCCTTCGAGGCTAAACTTTAACTTTTTTGCCAGACAGTATCTCAGAGGGAATATCCCAACACATAAAATTAACTTCCTAAAGATATTAGTTAAACAGCAAATTTGTCCACACTATTCTAAAAGGAACATCACTCTTCTTATATAACAGCCTTGAAGCTTACTGTGTGTATCTTAAAGAATCAATTTCAAAATTAATCAATCAATGTATGTCATCGATATGACATTTTCAGAATTTAAAAGCATTTTAAGAGATTAATTCATACATCAATCAAATCCGTAACTATTCATGTAATATCTATTGTATACCTCAAAAATTGCTATGTGCTGGGGAAAAAACAGTGAATAATGTTAACGCTCATCTTTACCTTCAAATTATGGTCTTTTTAATGGGATGGTACAAAAAGAAACATACGAAAAGCCAATTAATAAGATTCCACTAAATGCTGATCTGTCCTAGGAATAGAAATGTACTTTAAAATAAATTTTAATTATCAGCTAGCTTACTTACATAAAACTTTGAAGAAATCTGGCATACATAGTAAGTACACATGAGATTTATTCAACAATATAAACATATGCCTGAGAAAAATGTAGATTTTTTACGTACTTATGTGATTTGTGGTTATAGAAATGTTTAGTGTCATCCTAAACTTCGCATTGTATGTTGAGTTTTGAGAGTTACTGTGTAGTATGTTACACTTGTAAAATACTTCCCTTTAAAGGAGCTTAAACATACTGGGAGATTCCTAGAGAGAGAGAAAGACCTAAAAAATTTAGAGAGTAAGGTGATGAAGCACTTATTTTTTAAAAACTGAATTCATTATATTTCAGATTTTTTTTTCTCAAAACAGAATGATTTGTCATTGAATTTGATACATTCTTCTCTCCTACCCTACCTTTTAAAAAGCCACTGTAAGACATTTTGTTTCTGTAGTTAGAGTGTAAGAGTAAATATGACAATAGCGTCAGTGATTGAATAGGTACTTAGTACTATGTTGTTATTTTACTGTTATAAATGTGCCAGTTTTTATAGACAATCAGTTGCCACTTGGCAAGGTCTACTATTTTACAAGTATTTTCTTAGCTATCATTCATTGTCTGTATTTTCGCATGTAGGTGGCAAAAATCTTATTCGTCACTTCACATTTAGCCTTGGGCCTTCTTTGCTCTAATTTTTGTTTATGTATACATTTTATCTTTAAAAGTAATGTTAAATGTTTTACCTCATCAATATTTTAATCATATTATTTGGTAGTTTCTTTAATAATTTTCTTGGCACTTTTGATTTCATACTTAGCAATAGACTTTATTGTGTAAATCATTACTTTCTATACATTTAATATTTTCTTGTGACTTAGGAACACAGTGAGAATATTTTTTCAAGTCAATAAAAAATGAGGGGAAAAACTATATAGAAGTCACTTCTAAAAGCTTCATATTGATAGGGTCAATTGGTATTATGTTCAGAATATGTAACTAATATCCATCACAGCATGTAACTCACTCTAGCTGAGCAACAGATACAAGTTAAATGAGTGAATGCATGCTTTATCTTAATTTCAGTGGTCAGAAATCTTTCGGTCATCAAACCTAGCACAGTACAGGTGATATAACATGTATATTTTTAGCCACATAATGCTTTCACATTGTGTAATAGATCTTCACTTTTGTAGTGATCCATTGATTGTTTTCAGAATTGTGAATACTGAAGTCAATTGAGGAGTTTTACTTCAATTGATCCCTTTTCCATAAACCAATCAGATAATCTTAGTTTTTAGTTTTCATTTGAGGAGAAGGGTAACAATAGAGATC